GGTTCTGCTCTGAATGAAGCCATGTGAACTCTACCTTGTATTGGACACTTCTCAACCCAAACAGCCACCTACCCTTGTCTGAAAGCAACTTTATTTGCCCATGCATCCTATGCTGCTGGTGGGTGGAGCCAAAACTTGTGCAACAGCCTAGCTTGCCCATCCAGACAAAAAGGGGTTGATTTACTTTAATTACTTTTAATTTTAAAAGTGTAATTTAATGGTTTAATTACATTTTGTAAATATAGATAAATCACTGAAAATACTTTGATTTCTAGCATTTGTTGTTTTATTATTGCCCAATGCCTACAGATTTGTGCTTATTTCTTACAGGTGTTTGGAGTTCATCTTTAACATGTAGAGCAAAGTAACACTGTCTCTTTACCATCACTCCCTCAACACCCTAATTATTTATCCAAGTGAAGAGAAAAAGCTCTGTGTAAGCTCCAAGGCCATCTGTTTGGCACTTACACAAGCCTAAGGGCTCTGGTCCCCACCTTCCGTGCTGAGGCATAGCAAGTGGCACCCTGGGCGGAAAGGGAGAATGTCACAATCCTACTAACCCACGCTGGCTATTTTACTTCTCTATGATGGGTGAATCGAGCAGTGTGGAGGGAATGGAAGGTAGGTATAAGCCGTGGAAAAGGAATGGCAAGGGATTTTATTAAACCTGTTGGCCTGAATTGCATGGCAAAGCACAGGCTCACTGTAAATCCCTATTTCAGTTTTTCATAAGTTGCCCAGGGGTTTTAAAATAATGCAGATTTAGCAGCAATACTTTTCTTCTCTGCAGTACTGTTCCTTGAAGAGGCACCTGCTCCAGTGCCAGTCCTCTTCCATTCACCCCAATTTCTGTGAAGGCAGGAAGTGATAGAGGGGATATCAACAGGGCACCCTTCACTCACAGTACAATCATGCTGAAAATGGTGCTAAAATCATTACATCAGCCACTCTCTGCATCGTTGAGGACTGCCCAGCACCAGAGGAGAGGCAAAGAGAACCAATATGCTGGAGTTGTGTGTTAGGGTAGAATTGGGTTTTAGGTAGAGTAGTAAGGTGGAGGCCATCAGAAGAACATCTGCAGATGTTAAAGAAGAACTTTACCCCATATCTTTAAAATAGCAAATACAGCTTTGGAAATGTTTAGTAATGACAATCTACAAACACATACTTCTAGATAATGGCAGGATTTTTATTTTTTGCATACATCATTTGTATTTTCTTACCCAGTCTTTTGACAGTTGCCATTTTAACTAAGGGCACATTACTAGATCTTCCTTTACTTCCCGGAACTCTGGCACATGTGACCCGCACATGTGACCATGCACATCATCTCGGGAGGAAAAATCGCTTTCCCTGGGATCTTGAGAGATTAGAAATGAGATGTAACCTTCCCAGGATGCAACACTTGGGCACGATTAGATCATTTTGCCCAGGAAGTGCAAAAACAGTAATTGTAAGTAAAATACAAATATATGTTTGCTTAGCTAATTAATGTAAGATGATTTTATAGCAGCAAGCAAAGCTGTATGCTGATGTGATTTTAGTCAAGGGGGTAAAGGTTCACTTTAAGTCTACAAACAGCAAAAGCAGGTCAGCACTGGAACTTTGAAGCTGAAAATTTGGGGATTGGGGGTACAGGCAACAGTGTGAAGTACATCACTAAAATACCTCTTTAAATACCAAAGGATATAGTCACTAAAAGTTAGGGAGGCTTCAGGGGGAAAAAAAAGCCCATCTCTCACGGTTGATAAATTATACTGCTATACAGTTTAACACACGGGCTCTCTCATGTTATACATCTGGCTAGAAACTTCATCCTCCTGTCCCATCGCACTACCGACCGGACAAAACCCCAAATCCAACTGGGTGGGTGCGGTGGTGACAACGGATGCCTCCGTGAAATGTAGATAGATGAAAGTAGTCACTCGCACTCCATGATATTAAAGTCAATGCTGTTTATTGACTGAGATAACACACATCTCCTTTGCATAGGAGATGTGTGTTATCTCAGTCAATAAACAGCATTGACTTTAATATCATGGAGTGCGAGTGACTACTTTCATACATCTGGCTAGAACATCTGAATTAAAAGAAGTAATGATTGCCAAAACAAATATACACCATGTAAAGTGCTGATGATTTCGAGGAAAAATATATATATATCATTAAGATGTAGTGTTACTATTATGCTCACTTGTTTCTCTGTAATCAATGGCAGAAGAGGACATTTCCTTGTCAAATACTGAATCTCATTTCTGTGCATATTTGAGCATAAATTGACCCTACTATGCGTTTTCTCCAGTAAGGTAAAAAAGCAAGTGCATTCCATTTTCTTGCCCCTAATTTTGTGACGGTGTTCTGTCATGCCTAGCTAGGTAACAAATTACTTGCCATGCACATTTTATGGTTACACCCAGTGACCTGCAGTTAACCCTTTCACTG